AATCGTATTCTTAAAAAGAGTGTGTTATCGTCGTTTCATCGACAGGCTTCCGCGAAGGCCGATCCCGTTCACTTACGGACACGAATCATTGCATGCGTGTGCAATAGCACGGTAGCCTTCATTTGGACAGACGTACTTCTTGTGCGCCCGTCAAGACCAAAACCGAGCTCCAACCACCTTGGAACAACAATCACAAGGGGTTTGAAGCAACAGCCATCAATCACCAACCACTTGCAATGAAAGTTTTCCTCATCTCTTCTTCCGCTGGAACAACAAAGCTCGGTCACATGGTTGTCCATCAACGATGTTTCCTGACGATCAAATGTTCCAACAACAGAAGAAGTGATTGAAATGATTGATGATGAAGTAACGTCCATTGGTGAATTGTACCCAATAACATTGTCTTTTATGATCTTGCTGTTGCTTCCAGGGTTCCGTTGCTTCTGAAGATTTCCAGTCAAATCCGTCAACTGGCAAATCCGACTGAAACGATGAATCGGCATCTGTGGGCCCCAGGAAGAAACCAAATACAATGGCAAGCTTCATTTTATATAGAATACATTCACAGCTGCGATTGGTGATTTATTCTATACCTTTATCATTCCACAACCAACCAATGTTGATCAAGCTGCTTCTGTTGGTTGGTCCCTATTGTCGGTTTGCCATCTTTCAGGAGGAGGTTCCCATGGCCGCCATACTACCAGGGCACAACCACTCAACAATACACCAGTCGCTTCTTTCAATCCTTAAGCCTTGAGCAGTATGTGACCTAGTCATGGATTCGGCCTAGATCCAGCATACAGTGGCCTAATTGGTGGGGTCAAAACAATGGTAAGTTATGCTTCAAAACTGGTATTGGTCGAACTGTGGGCCTAATTTCTCCAAGCTTCTTTATTCTAACGCATATTTGTCGTGCATGGGAATGTATATCATGATTGGGGGGTTGGAATGGGGGGTTTCTGGGTAGAAGTGATTGAACCACAGGTACTTGGTGTGGATAATAAATTCAGCATAGATTTGGAGAACCTTTACCATTTCTGATGTCGTCACCCAGACAAGGGCGGGCCTTCACCAAAGTTTTCTATGTACCAGCAGTTATCAATATTTGGCGATGGTTTGAATTGAAAAGAAATGTTTGGCTCCTTTTTTCAACTCTTTGCAACAATTCAAGTGATTTGGAGGGATTTCCTTCAATCTGATTGGTTCTACCAAGAGTTCTTCACCAAACTTTGCAATTCACAGTATATAGAGATCTAGTACAGATATTACCTAATAGTGGTGTAGGTCGCAATAGCACAGTTTGTGATCTTGTGTCTTTTGGTTTTGATAAAAGTCGAAGAAGTCAAATTTAGGGTATATTTTGTTTTTCTGTCGCCACGGATGGTCAATTTGACCATCCAATCATGTTGTGTGGAGCCTTTGAACGTTGTGATTGGATGGTCAATTTGACCATCCAATCATATTCTCTGCAGCCTTCGGATCTACTGGCTCGTGGTCAATTTGACCACGGCTCGATAGGCTCTTGGTCAATTTGACCACGGCTTGACTGGCTCGTTGCTGTCCATCCCATCACTCAGCCGGTCATTGCGCTCTCGGCGGCTATTTGTAAATTGAATAATAGATATTTCCACTACTTATTACATGATTCAGGTTGGTGGCACCGGAACAGAAGGGACGAACCATTGGCCAATTTTTTTCACTCTTGCGAAAGAGAATACAGCCTTTTTTATTCATCTGGCGAGTTGAATCGGACCTTTTTTCGGAATGTCCAAATTTTTTGAAATTCCGCGACTCTCAGATTCCTTTTCCAGTCTCTCCCCCAACGTTTCGCCGACCACTCCGACCACCGTTCCCGGCCGTTCCAGAAATCAAGGAATTCCAAGAAAGTCGACTAGTCCGATCCTTTTTTAAAGACGACCGAGCAAATAAGTACCCTACTAGCAGTACGTGTACCTCCCTGTACCTACAGTACCTGTACCTCTACTCGTACCGGCATATAAATGTAATCGTTACATTATTACAAGAGTGTTGACTTACGAAGTAGTAGGTGTTAAAGATAGTAATGTAGATCAAATCGTATTCTTAAAAAGAGTGTTGTTATCGTCGTTTCTTTGACAGGCTTCCGTGAAGGCCGATCCCGTTCACTTACGGACACGAACGATTGCATGCGTGTGCAATAGTAGGGCAGCCTTCATTTGGTCCCCTCAAATTGGGTTCCAACGATGGGATCCAGTTCGATAAGGCGTCTAGTACATCCATTCCCCAAATAGTCGCCCTCTCCTTTCTAGTGTCAATTGTTTCGTGAAGGCATCAGCAAGGTTCAACATTCCTGCAATCCACAATATGTTGATGACTCCTGCAGCCACGTTCCACCTGGTGTAATGATAAGCAATCGAATTATGCTTCTTGTTCAAAGTGGATTCGACCATTGTTGAATTCGTCACCACGCTCTCGTTGTCGCAGAATACGTGCGATGGTCCTTCTTCCAAAGGTATTCCGAACATCCTCAATTTGAATCTCAAATGCGTGATGGCTTCAATGCATGACTTCAAAGCAATGAATTTGGAACCAAAAGTACTCGCTTCTACTGTATTCTGTCGCTTGCTGTGCCATAAGATAGGTGCTCGATTGAGGAAAATTATGTACCCTGTATGTGATTTCCGCGTTTTCTTATTGGCACCATGTGAAGCATCTACCCATGCAGTACTTCCTACACTGCGCCCCCTTGGTTTGGATGTGTTGTGTGGCATCTCTTCCGTTGCGTCTCGGTAGTATGCCTCGAAATCCTCCCTGGAGGATCTCAACTTGGAATAGTCTACGTTTGGCGTCCTCCAATCATAGTAAAGAGTCAATTTTGGGAAGGTGTCCAAGAAAGCAAATATCCTCAATGCTTGTTCCATGTGTCGTTCCCTTGGAGCTGCTTGATACTGGCTCAGGAGTGATACTTCCAGTAAGATATCGACTCGTCCAATCTCTGTCGCCCATCGTAATATCCCAATCAACTCTTGGAAGTAGGTATGGTCTTCTCGTCCTAATTCGCTTGATCCATCCATCTCCGGTTCATAGGCACTAGTCATCGGCGTTGGTGCATTCTTGGGCATTTTCCATTTTGGGCTGTCCTTTAATGTTTCCTTGACCTTTTTGACAGCTGCCACGACGTAGTCATAACTTGACATCGTCCACATGTCATGTCCATCCAAAGTCTTCTTTTGTAACCTAGCTCCCAAGTAGCTTTCTGGAGGTTCAATCTTCCCTTTCTTGAACTTGAACACCCTTCCAATTCCTTCCATCACTTCTTTGGCTTTCATCAACATACAGAGGATGTCGTCAACGTAGCAACGGATGTATTTGTAGTATTCCTTGCCGTCAGGTTTCACTGCCGCTCGCATCCAAACGTCTGGGTCGGCAGTTGACGAGCTGAAGCCCAAATCTTCCAAAGTCTCCGCCAGATGTGATCTGAATGCTACGGATGAACTTTTTAAGCCATATAATGCTCTTCTTACAATAAATACTTTGTCTTCTTCTTCACCGAACTCGGGTCCTGCTACCAGGTAGTACTTTTTGATCGCTGGTGCATTGAGGAATGCGTTTTGAATATCCGTGCATTGCAAGTCTAATCCGTTTAGCGCCGCTATCATTAGTAGTATCCGAACTGAATCACAGGACACTACCGTACTGTAGGTCAATGCTGCGGTTGCTTCAGTCTTGTGTCCATCAGCGCAGTACCTCGCTTTCCTTCGGAAGATTTCTCCTAGTTTCACATCAAATACTAGGTGTCCTGTGATCTTTTTGTATCCCATCAGCTTCTCTACGTCTCCATCAAATTCTTCAAAAGCGACTCGATTGGTTTTCATCTCCATTTGAATCGAGTCTTGCCATAGAGTGTCCCCATTTGCTTTGTCGATTTTGATTGTTGGGATATGACGAAATGAATTGAATACGTGTGTAAGGTGAAGATGGTAATAGTCACTATCGTATTACGTTGTTGTTGTGAATCGTTGTCGGATTCCTTTTAATTGTGATGTGGATAATTGCATGTTTATCCAAACGGATCGTGAACGTGTTCGCGTGTCGAACCCGTTCCTCGCCAATATATACATTACTTATTGGCCGTGCATGATAGAGAACAAGCTGGAC